CTGTTGGTTTATATGTATCTTAATTCTTCAATAAACTTTTAAAAATACTACAATAAAAAAGAAGTAAACCAGGAATCATTTTTTATTGGACAAATGGAGAAATGAAATCAAATTTAAGAGAGAGAGTGGAAGGCTGGATGAAATGAAAGACTACAGGATATAGGAGGAAAAGACATGGGAAACAGAAAAATTGTGAGTAGGAAAAGAAAAGAATAATTTGCTAAGGATATGGAATAATGTGAAAGTTGTGAGGAATTAAGAAATATGGGGAGAAGGGTTGAGCAACCAGGAGGAAAGAGGTGTCTATATATATTATAATAAATCATTTTACTATATGTAGTTTACTTATGTAGTTTACTGTTAGACTGTCTGGAGTTCTGTAAAATATGCTACTGACATTGCTTTCTTGGTCCAGAGGACACCATTCAGATTATATAACATGTCTTCTGCCATTTAATGCTCCTGCTCACTGACAGAGTGAATTCTGACCACTTGGCAGGGATGTTGCTTAATAATGACTTGTTACTACTAAGAATGGGAAGCAGGATAAAAGATGACACCATAAGTAGCAATTTTGTGTAGGTTCTGTTATTTGTTTTACTTTGTCGTATCTTTTAAGTACCCAAATTGCTTTATTTATGCCATCCCTCCCCTACACACACACACACACAGTGTGCTTACTTGACTGCAGCCAAGCTCTTAGCTCTTGAAATTCTTAGCAAACATCAATATTCCAAGGGTTTCTTTCAAACTTATAAACTTATCTTTGTGTGACTTCCTGCACCATATCATGGCGCCATTAATGTGTGGGAGAGTCCCTTACAGTAGGTCTGGTTAGATATTAGAAGAGTCTCAGGTGACATGTTTTTCAGTTCCTTTTGTAGAGAATACTCAGGATCCTCATTGATCTCTCCCTGCCTCTGCCTGTATATCTAGAGCTAGACTGAAGTACTGAGACCCAGTAAGTACCAACTTGGCTTTGTTAATTCATGCGTACTTTTGTGTGACACTCCCTGCTGATAGAATCAGATGCAGCCAATGAACAATGAAATTCAGCTAGAGACAGATGAATCAAGAAACACGTTGTGTTTCATCTATAATTTAAAGAGAACAGCTAGCAGATGTAACAAGCAATAGCTTTAAAATAATCACCTAAAGCATGAAGAAAGACTACATTTACATGCAAGTTCAGAAACTATTTCATCACAAGTACACTTACAGATGATTATTTCCCCCCTTTCTTTTTATCTTTTGCATCACAACATCTTATTTAGAATTATTTTTATGCTGCCCTTAAGAGTGAAAACTTCCCAAAAACATTGTATAGGATTGAGAAAAAAGTAACACAGTAACAATGCAATGCAATAAAATACAATAATGTTCATGTTCAGAAACATGAGAACCCATATATATTAAAATAATTGTAAGCAATGTAAGCAGCACTAGCTGCCTACTTCATTCCAGGCACAATTCAAGGTGCAAATTTAAACCTTTTTACCTTCTGTTTTCTTTTTAGCAGACTCTTGTGTGTGTGTGTGTGTATTAATGAAATCCAAAAGTTGCATTTTTAAATGACTGTTTCCAAGTTAATCACAGAAGTTAGGCCAGAATGAGACCTAACTTCCGTGATTAACTTGGAAACAGTCATTTAAAAATGAAACTTTTGAATTTCATTAATACACATACACATACACACACACACACACACATACTACATGGATGTAGCCTCAGTTTTATGTATTCTAAGCAATAGAAAGCAAAGAAATACTGGTAAAAGCAACATTACAATGTAACCTTCTCACAGTAGTTACTTTGCCACCTGCCAATCACATTGTTACAAATAAAGCAGAAATCTACCAAATAATGTATGGTGATGGGAAGGATGACTCAGGGTGCATTAAATTGCAGAAATAATGCAGATTGGTTCCATTTAGCTGTCATGGCTCCATTTAACAACATCTTGGGATTTGCAG